TAAGTAAAAGTCTGCAGTCGAAGATAAAGAAGCCATTTTACAACCCATTTACGACGCCTAAACCCTAAACCCTAAACCCTAAACCCTAAACCGTGCTGCCCCTGGCAGGTCGCTCTGATTCTACCTTACCGGACTGATACCAAACCACGCTAGCTGTACCAACATGAAGGACGGCATAGCAGGGTTCCTACGGCTGATGGACAAAATCCTGCATGACCTTATATACTTCAACTATGGGATTTACGGTGCTATACTATATTTGGGTCATGCAGAATTTTGTCCATCAACAGTATCACCAAACGAAAATACCCGAATGGCCACGAGACAAACTCCCGAACCAACACCTCACAGTGAGCACAAAAGCCTTTACTTAAACAGTTTGGGATAAAATCAAAAGCTGGACAACGGCCGACAGTAGACAGAGACGATTGCGTGAGGCTTCGATGTAAAAACATTAGGGCTCAAAGTTTCTACTTCTGCGAAACTCTAAACCCTAAACCCCAAACCCAGACCCATAACCCCAAGAAACTCAATGTAGATCCCCGAAAAGTAGGATCCTAAACCCTGATCCCTACACCCTGAGACCTAAACCCCCAAAGTGTCCACTAAATCCCATACCCAAGAAGCCACGATCTTCGCAGCTCTAAGCACCAGCATCAGCGTCGATACCTTCAACATGAAGGTTTAAGGTTTAATGGGGTTCAGGGTTCGGGGTTTAGAGTTTGGGGGGCGAAGACTTTCAAGAACAACTTTCGTCTCGGCACTGGGTGTTTGCCGTATCTTCGTCAGAAATACGGAGCCCCCAGCTTACAGGAAGACGGATGAGTGTAAACCATAATCCTAAGCCCAACCAGCGAAGCTTTGACATTACCACCGGGTTCGGACTTATTCGCAGTTATATCCTCGCAGCTGTTAGCAACAACATCCCCAAATCGCTTTTGTGAGGATGCTATAATCTGTACCATAACCTTGCTATAGTCACCTATGATACAACATGAATCAACAACGTCCCTGGTGCAGCTTGCCATGATGAAAGGCGGCGATCCGTTTCGAGAAGTGGATGCTGGCCTTGACAGCTTAGATTTGGGGGCCTCAGCTATTTGACATTACCTTCTGTTGAACCCTAAACCCTAAACCTAAACCCTAAACCCTAAACCCTAAACCCTAAACCCTAAACCCCGGAAGAGTGATGGCATAGTGCACTCCAAGCCACCTCTCAGGTCGCAGGTCCGGCCCGAATCCAGAACCTCTAAATCCTTTTTAGGGTTTAGGGTTTAGGGTTTAGGACCCTAAATCCCAAAGAACGAAATAATGTAGGGCCCTTAATAATTAGAATGGGGTTTTGGGGCCCCATTATACTATAAGTATATTAAGGAACCCCCAAAATAGTATATGTAATTGTTTGGGCTTCGATATTTAACCCTAAACCCTAAACCCTAAACCCTAAACCCTAAACCCTAATGGAAACTGCGTGTCTTTGTTCATCCTGAGCCCCCTAAACCGTCAAGCGCAACCCAGGGCTCGGGAAGGTGTGCAGGATTGGTCGTTTAGGGTTTAGGGTTTAGGGTTTAGGGTTTAGGGTTTAGGGTTTAGGGTTTAGGGTTTAGGGTTTAGGGTTTAGGGTTTAGGTTCACGCCGGAGGCTCGACAAGTCAAGAGGTCTTCCGGCTTCCCAGGGCTTAGTGACCTGCGCTGAAGCACAACACCAGAAATTTGCAGCAGCTCCCATATTACTTTCTTTAGGTTCTGGTATTTTTGATGAACTTGAATTGAGTAGGGTGTGGTGTGGTGTGTGCGGTATCGACAGTAGCCTGGGAACCGAATAGAGTGGAGCTTACTGCGATGTTTTGATATGACCGTGACGGGAAGGCCTAAACCCTGCCCTAAACCCAAAATCTAGGACCTGTTCAGGTGGGTAGTTACCGTTATAGGAGCCTTATAGAAGGTCTATATACCTTATGGAAGCCTAGAAGCCCTATATACCCTAAACTCCCCAACTGTAGTTTCCTTGAACAAAATCCTAAATGTGTCGGCTCGCCGGGTGCTGCATCGGTGAACCTGTCACTCCCAGGATGTCATTCTTCACGGCGTACGGTATTTCAGTTCTGGGACAGGGCAGCCAAAGGGACGCCTGACTGCAGACATGGAACTAGGTTTTGGGTGAAGGGTTTAGGGTGAAGGGTTTTGGGTTTACGGTGTGAGCCGTAAGGCTTGAGTTTCACAGGAAGCTGAGCCTATGCATGCCTAATGTGCTGTGTGCTCTACCAGACGCGACCATCGGAGCAGGGCAGTTGAACCCCAAAAAAGCCTCGACACCGGTTGCAGCACCATATACTAGAACAGTTACTACAATGCACTATTAATACACCAATAGCCTACTACGAATATCTACACATGAAGACCACTGTCCATGAGTGTTGCATTGAGGACAACCTGTATATCCGGCAGCAGGGCCTGCGAACCTTTCAGCTGCTGAGACTGCATGGTGTAGAAGCCTGAATCTTTTCCAGCAAAAATGCTTACATCCAACTCCGTAGGTCTATTTAGTGTACTAAACCCTAACCCTGAACCCTAAAACCCAAAACTCTACACCTTAACCCCCAAACCTTAAACCCTAAACTTAGCCCTAAATTCTAAACCCTAAACCCTAAACCCTAAACTAAGCCCTAAATTCTAAACCCTAAACCCTCAACCTTACACTAAGCCCTAAATTCTAAGCCCTAAACCTCAACCCTAAACTAAGCCCTAAACCCGAGATCCTAAGCCCTCAACTAAGCCCTAAACCCTAAACCCTAAGCCCTAAACCCTTGAACTAATCCCTAAATTCTAAACCCTAAACCCTAAACCCTAGACTAAGCCCTAAATTCTAAACCCTAAGCCCTAAACCCTAAACCCTAAATCCCTACAACCCTAAACCCTTAGAGTCATCAGGCTATCAGCTGCCGGACCAACCAAGCCCTTCCCTCGTGTAGCAGTGCAGCTCGTGGTTGC